CTGCGCACACACAAACATGCCAATGACTTAGTGAATATTAGCCATCTGAGCAGCAGCTGTTTTTGGTCTCCTGTGTTTTTAAGCGAGGAATAAGAGCTGCTCATATTTTTGGGAGGATTCTAACTCGCTGCTCATCTTCTCCAGCCCAGCCTGCCTCTCCTCACATTTCCTCATTTTTTTGTTATACAGCTCTCTCCCTCTCTCTTCTTGCTTCCATTTCCCTCTCTCTGTCGTTCTCTCAGCACTTGGTTCTAATTTTGGAAGCATGGAACCTCGGGGAGCGCTCTCCCAAAGCTATTTACGTCCTTGCCTCTCCTCCTCTTCTTCCTCCTCCTCCTCCTCCTCCTCCTCCTCCTCCTCCTCCTCCTCTTCTCTCCCTTTCGTCGTCCAGGAGGAGAACAGCAAAAGGATCCTTTGATGCATCAGAGCAGAGGAATTCGGCTTCTCTTCATCTCTGTATTTTTGTTGTGTTGTTAGCTGTGAGAATCAGTAAAGGGGCTGCAGCAGCTTCGCTCTCGAACTGATTCCTTCCATCACTTCTCAGCTTATGGAAATGTACAGTTTTGCTGGCAAGCAACCAGATTTCTTTGGTTTCTTTGTGGTCTTGGTTTTGCATGGTTGGCGGTTTGGTGGCAAAGACTCTAAGACGCTTTAGTACACCAGAGGAGACAAACTTTGTTCTTCCATCTACATGACTGGTACATCCCAAAAAATACCAGCCACTGTCATTATCTCAGGAACCAGTGGAGTGTTCTGCATGGATCAGGACTCCAGGTGTTGTAGACTGACCAGAAAAGCATATTTCAGGTCATTTTCCAGCCTGGTGCTCTTTGGATAACCTGTATTTCCTAAATTTGACCTTCTGATTTTGAAGAGTGGCAGAAGTGGAGTATTTCTATAAATGCAAAAACATTAGAAAAGAAGATTTTGTCCTAAGTGTAAGTGACTGGTCATTACATCACAAACGGAACAGCCAGAAGCTCCAAGTCAAACTGCAAACCGGAGCCTGACTAGGCTGTCTTTGCTGGATTATGCAATAAAGGCACAGAGGAGTTCTTTCTTGAATTTTTTGATGGAATTCACGGTAATTTTTTCAGTGAGTTTAAAGATTGTTTTACAATAAAAACACGGAAAACAATTGGTAATTTGGAAGTTTTCAGTGTAACCTGTTACTAGTTTTTGAAAGCACATTTCAGTGTTTGTTTCCCCCTGCACTTGACAACTTGAATGCTAAACTAAGCCATGCTGGTATTTCGGAAAGGGAACTGACTGGTGCTTTCATGACAAAATAGAACACTTCCTCTTGTCTTGGCATGCTGTTGCACCCCACGGTGTCAGGATTGTGCACCATGTTACAGACCATCTATGAGACTGAGTCCTGTTTTTCCTCTGCCAGCACAGACAGCCACCACCAGCCTCTGGAGCTCCTGAGTGGCAACAGGGGCTCCAGTGCTGCCATGCCCACCACTGGTGAGTCATAGCAGGGAAAGGGGAGGTGGGCTGTGTGGTATTTATAAGGTCTGCTAATAACTTTGCATTTTTGTGGGAAGGTTTTTGCTGCAGGTTTTTTTTTTAATTATCTTTTGGTGTATCACAAAAGCTGTTAGTGGTCATGATTATGTTAAGTTCCAGTGAATGGTTATAGGTTCCAAAGGAAGAATGTATGTGTGGGAGCTCAGGGGTGGTGTTGATAGAACAGGATAGAAGGATGGACAGGAGGTTTAGGTCAGAGGTTTTCAAACTGTACGCCTCCCAAGAGGGGTTGATGCACAGATTCTTTGAGTTAGAAGGAGCAGGTGCATGCCGGTGTTTTAAAAACAACAGGAAGGTAGTGATTAGTTTCTTCTAGACAGAGGTTCGGCTATGTTGGCGTTACGCTGGCCCTTTTCTGTTGCAGCTTTACACTGAACTAAAAAAAGCCAGCATAATACCACCCCTGTTCTTCTTACACAGATATCAGTGTGCCAGTATTAGAGGTGTGACATTTAATGTGATGTCTGTTGTGACATATAACCATGCATGCAAAACATACTCATACATATATGAGAAGTAGAAACCCTGCCAATAACATTTTTGCTTTCAAATGGCAGATGACCAGAGCAGGTATATGCTTTGCTTGTCCTGCACATTTACGACATGATTCAGACTCAAAGTTCTTGTGCACAGTGGGCAACATGTTCATGATTATGGCTATAGGTTATGTTTCTTGCAAGCAAGAAACCCCGGTGGTGCGGTACAGAAACAGCACTTCATCAAAACTTTACACTCTTCCACCCACAACCCCCAAGCTGCCTCACTCCTTTTACACACACGCTGAGGAGAAATGGTTATGCTAGTTTTACTAGCTTACCTCTCGTGGATGAATAAATACAGCATCCCATGCTAGGCTTTTACACAGATCAGTGTGGCAGAAGATTGGCGCAATAATCCCACCTTAAATGGGCAGTATAAAAGGGCTTATTTTAGTTTGTCCTGCTGATTTGGCCTGTTTTTGCTTATCAACATGGTTAGCAATTGCAGCAGTAGAGGCAACTAAGGTTGGAGATAACTACCTAAGCTATTATATCATTATTGCAGATGTTCATCACAAATAAATGTCCAAATATTTGCTTACAAATCACAGTAAATGAGATGCTCCATAATTTGACTGAGAATCATCATTTTTGGTTTTCTTAAGTATCAAAGTCATTCAGTGATAGTTGTTTATGCATCCATGGGTACAGTGCAAACATGACTTGCTAATAGCTAATTGGACATACATTTAATGGTGCTAATTTTCCAAAATCTTAACAAATATAGGTTGAAATAACAGGGCTGAAGTTGTAGCCCATTACTAATTGATTCCATGGTATCACTTTACTTTCTGATTTCCTCAGTTTTAAAGCAAAGTAGGTCCATGAAACCTGCTGTCTTCACTTCACTTTTTTCATGAGAAAAGGGCAAACATGCTTCAAGGTGCCTCACAGGTGTTTCTGACATATCACGTTCACAAGAAGGGGATTAATGCAAGGTCACAGTGATCTTAACCTTTGACCACCAAAATTTAACCAGTTCATCCTTGAGTCCATGTGGACACTTGTGCTAAATTTGAATAAATTCCCCAAGGTGTTCCTGACATATCGCGTTCACAGGAATGGGGTGTTCAGGCAGGCAGCCAAAAAACATGAACCCAGCTGTGGCTATTGCCGACACAGAGTGCAGTATTTGTAGTTATCCAAATGTAAACAGGTGCAACAGGTAGCCTAATAGAAGCAGATAAACTATCTGTTACATCAGTCCCACTGAATATGCAGTTCATTTTAAAGTGTGTGTAATTTTTATTTGGTGTTTTACCATGAGTCAGATACAGTGTACATATGTACGCATTTCAAGTGTAGCTAGTATTTCCCTCCTTGTGTACTATTTGACCATAGTTTTCCCTTCCCCCAGGTGTTTCTATAGGCTCCTCTGGGCGCTTTTTGTACACCAAATGCTTCCAATGCACGACTGAACGCGCCCGGTATAGTCATGAGCATGACACTCACACGATGTGCATGACAGATGCTGTGTGCTGCACATGCAACATTTTCTGACTGTGCCAGTGTGTGTTACATGAACCATCATGTGTGTAAATATGACTGGCACAGAATTGGATATCTCAGAGTGATCGGCCGGGCACCGATCGTGGCAGATCAAGCTAAAAACCTGCCAATTCTGATTTCCAGCTGCTCGATCGGCGCATGATCTAATTAATATTATCATAGCCGGTAGTCTATATATCCCACACCCTACTCTGGAGCTTTACAATCCTTGGCCATTAAGTGTCATGTTCGACCAACTCCCATTTATGCTTGGCGCCTAGTGTGTGAGCAGAGAAAATCGTTGTTTTCAGTATGATACATGGCTGCTCAATACCAATAATTCCTATTATTTAGGTATAGTAAAGTCTGTGGAACAAAGTGGCTGCCAAAGTGAGGTGAACAGAGCGTGGTTTGATGCAAGAATGTTGGTTAGTTAGTTGGTACAAGCAGGACGCACACTAGCTCTGATCTTCGTTGCACAGATATAGTATTGGCTCACTGGGGAACCCAGGTCAGTGTGTGTGTGTGTTCAGACTTCACAAGCTCACAGAGACTTGAGTATAACAATTGTATATTGGTGTTATAGTGGTGATGCATCCTCTGCTGTAGCTTGTGATTTCTTTCATCAACCTTTAGTTTGCTTTTTTACACAATATTGATCAAACTGGTCATGTGCTGTGTATGACACTGATGTGTGTTAGCATACAGTTGCCTATAAATAAAGGTAATGGCCAAACTACAGTACATACCAGTGTGTGAACTAATCTGAACAAAACTATTCACTGCAGGGCTGGGTGATAATAATTTCTGAGCTCATCACTATGAGCGATCCATTCACATTACACATAGCCATTTGACCCAGGGTTAAAATAAAAGTATTGATCAGTGCACCTTTAAAAATATGCAGACATACTGTGTAACTGACTGAACCAGATGTTATCAAAGACAGTAACCCTGGTACAACAAACAGACAACATCCGTGGTGGATGACCTACAGCCTACCAGCCCATAATACTCCTGACCCACCCCTCAGTCTCCACAGCAACACTAAACATGTGACTTCTCTCTCTCTCTCTAAGCTTCTAATTTGTTTAAAGTACACAGCCATTATACTATTTTTACCTCCTCCCTGTCTTTCTCTGTCTTTTCTTTCTCCTTCTCTGTCCCCTCCTGGCTAGAGTGTTTTGCAGGGCTGACGTCATCATGCCTATTTTCTTTTAGCAATGCGGAACGAACAAGACAGGGAGTGAGAGAAGAGAAAAGAGGAATATTAGTTTCCAGAAATACCTCCCAGCAGCAGCAGTAGCAGCAATGTGAACGAGCCACCAACAGAGAAAGAGGGAGACAGAGAAAAGTCATGGGACGTGGTGTAGTTTGTTTAGGGGCTTCAAAATCATAAAAGTGGTGTTCACTTGTGAAGATTGTTTTTGCTGAACAAAACATATAAGTGTCATAAACTTTTGTTTGTAACTTATTTTCTGCAATAATCCAAAAGCCTATGGAAAATTCCCCGTGGCTTTTTATTGAAGGAAGCAGGGTGATGCTAACTTCCGGGTTGGCCTGCAAAAATATGTCATCCCTATGGCACTTTATTAGAAGCAACAAATCATGGCGAGTACTTAGTGTGGCATCGTTGATTTTTGATTATAGTTTTAGAGAAAGCACACATAGCATTTCTGTCAAAGGTAGATGGAAATTCCAGTTGGTGGGTTGGTTTAGGGTTAGAGTTAGTAATGAATATGCAAGTTGTGCATTCTAATGGTGCAAAAAAGTTCAATAAATATGTTTTAAAAAATAGAAAAGGTTCAAGCATTATGTGTTACAGTCATATCTTCTACAGCTTCATTTATTGTTGAGCTGTTCTGGACCTTCTTTTTTTGCGATCGTGATTGTTTTAAGAAGAGGCAAAGTAGGACTTTAGACTATATTTTATCTTTGATGAGTAAATCAGCTTCTATGAGCTATGTAGTATCTTTACCAGACATGAGTAAAACATCATTTTTAGCCTTGTCTAATGGTAAGAGCATCTCCCAGTTCAGTCTAGTTCATTGGCTAGAGCAATATGAAAGCTATATAGCAACTAATGGATTATAGACAGCATTAGGGTTGGGGAGTATGTTGTTAAATATTTTTTAAAAAATGAAGAAGAGAGGCACAGTGGTGCACTGTTTTTGTTTTTTTGGGTTCAAACCTGGCTGGCGACTTGGACCTTTCTGTTTGGAATTTGGATATTCTCCCTGAGCCTGGATGGGTTCTTTCTGGGTCCTCAAGATTACTCCCACAGTCCAAAAACATGCAGGTTACGTTGACTGGTGACTCTAAATTGCCTGTAGGTGTGAATGTGAATAGTTGGCTTTCTCTCTGTGTCAGGCCTGTGATAGACTGGTCACCTGTCCGCGGTGTACCTCGCCTCTCGCCCAGTGTCAGCTTTAGTGGTGTAACAGTTCGTTAAATCCATGGTTTGGATCAGGCCTTGGTTTTTGGGCCACGGTTTCATTCAGACTTAGCTTTTGTATTGGATGGTTAATAAGAAAAATCTTGGAAAAATGTTCTTGGTTTTATAAAATCACCAGCAGTGTTAAACATTAAAGAGAAGAACACACTTTAACAAGGATCATTTAGTAAGCAGAGGTTAAATTAAGTATTATGATTTGTACAAACATGAAGGAAATACCTGCACATAAATTAGATTTTTTATCATTTTAATGATATAATCTAATTCACCCAATTCAATTACAGGTTCTATGATAATTTTATTGCTGTAGTTCCATCTGCCAGAACCCCGACACAAGACCATGGGTGTTTGTAACACAGTTTCGGGATTGGTTTTAGAACCGATAAAACCCTAGTTTACTTGCTACATAGTGAGGACCAGAAAAGTTTTTTTTTTTTTTTTTTTTGCTACAGTGTGAGGACATTTTGGCTGGTCCTCACTTTGTGAAACAGCTTTTTTTGAGGATTCAGGTTAGGGAGAGGGTTAGGTGTTAGTGTTAGGGTAAGGGGCTAGGGAATGCATTATGTCAATGAGTGTCCTCACAAAGATAGAAGTACAAGTGTTTGTGTGAGTGAGCTCCCCTCCCTTCCCATTTCACACAGACAGGCAGGCATGAGGTTGCATCTTACACAGACTTCAACAATCTATATGTGCATCAAAACCAACAGTAATGGTGAGAGTAGTTATTCAAACACCTGTTTGAAACAGAACACAGCAACAAACTTGCAGAAATGTGACGTCTTCATTCTCCCCGTGGTCAAGCTGACTGGTCACGTTCATTCTGCTAAAACCACCATGGTGTTCATTCTGCTGATTGTAATGAACTGTTGTGAATGGGAAGACAGCAGAAACTAACTTTAAGTAGTTAACTGTGGGGTCTCTGTGAATGAAGAAGGGTGGAATCCTTGTGGACTTGGAGGCTGAGACCAGCAGCTAGCTCCTCTGCAGCAGAGCAGGGACGTGTCTAGCAGAGAGAACAGATTGAAGCCACACACATTCACCAGTTTAACCTAAAAGCATGCAACCTCATTAAATTAAACATTTAATTATCTGACTGTGACAACATGCACTCATAAATTGTGATGTTCTGATTTGGGGGGTTGTGAAATCATTACATCCTAACACAGGGTCGCAGTCCTAAAAGTTTAAGCTCCACTGTGTTACAGTAAGTTGTGTAGCAGGCTACAGAAATTCAGTCAGTTACATATTATTCAATAGGATTGGTGGCAGTGCTGTGTTTGTTTTCACAGTTTTCAGGTAGTTTGCATAGGATATTCTATTTAATCACTATCAGAAAGTAATGAAATTAAAAACTGTCTCTAAAGTCATTGCACTTTTATGGTAAATGGTCTTATACTTGTATAGCGCCTTTCTATGCTTTTACAGCACACTCAAAGCGCTTTCACATTATTCGGCCATTCACCCATTCGCACTCCCAAGCGCTCACGCATTCACACACCGGTGACATCACCGGGAGCAACTGGGGGTTCAGTGTCTTGCTCAAGGACACCTCGACATGTTGACTGGACAAGCCGGGAATCGAACCGCTAATCCTCCGGTTAGGAAACGACCCGCTCTACCTCCTGAGCCACAGCCGCCCCCTAAAATGGTAATTGTAGTTTTTTATAGTAGAAACACTGCATCATTAAGTACTCGGCAGTTACGGCAAGTGCTCAAATGTAAGTACTCGTTCTTAGTCTGGTGCATCCCTACTTCTCGGGATGAGTTGTAATAACTTTGGTAATCCACTGACTTTTCATCTAGTGCCAACATATGGTCAAAATTTGTCCAGTGCATATTATGCGAGATAAACCCAAAAAACTAATGTAATTACTTTCAACTTCAGCTGTAGCATTCTGTTTTGATAAACTAAGATGGTAAACATAACCTGCTAAAACATTAGCTTGTTAGCATGTAGTTCAAGGTATGTGTGCCAAATTACATCCTCACAGAACTGCTATTATGGCTGTAGACTCTTCTTAGTCTTGTTCAAAATGTTCCTGTTCCAATTAGGGTGATAGCTGCTTTTCTTTGTTTTATGTGGTAATGGGCTGAATATTTTTTGATTTTGGAGTACTGCTCGGACAAGCAATTTAATGACATCACCTTTGGCTTGAATAAATTATGAGAGATCTTTAAAAAAATATTTTCTGACATTTTATTCCAACTAATTAATCAGTTAATGGAGACTTGGATTGGTAGATGTATTGGAAATAGGGGCACTTATTGCAGCCCTTTAAAAGGATCATTTTCGTGATGAATGCTTTATAGAGTGTCATCGGAAGTCCACTTAGACCTGACTCATAATCTCTAAAAAGATACCTCTAGCTAGTTATGTGAAAAGCTTCTCTTTGTGATTTAAGTCTTGTGTTGTGTTAGTGTGGTGTGTACAGAGTCATATTAGCACAAAGGTGTCATTACCAGTGTGTGTTCAATTCTACCAGGATTCACTGACTGGACAAACTGGATGCACAGTCAGCTTCTCATTCTTTGTGTTGCATTCCTTCTTTTGTATGAATTACTGTTTGTAACTGCAGAGAGCTGCAGTCAGGGACTGATATGACTGATGGAAAGGTTTCTTCAGCCCCGCCTCTTTGTCAAACTGTACGTTAGTGTGAGTGTGTGTGTTTACCAGACTATAAATGTCTTCAGTTTGACGTCAGACGCTAGCTGCTGTGGAATGCTGTTCTCTTGCCAAACAGACTGTTGTACACACACTCATAGACCAGTCTCTCACTCACACACACACACACACACACACACACACACACACACACACACACACACACACACACACACACAGGGACACTGTGTGTCATAGTGGAAGGGGAGACACGTGCGTCACAGTGCAACGCCAGAATATTTGTTTAGGTAATTTAGATGTTAGTGGCTGCACACATACGTGCAGATACATAGCCTTGTTTAGCCCTGGCTCTCAGTTTTTGGTTTTTACTAACTTTTCTTGCACCAACCACAGTGACTGAGCTAACTTAACGGTCACAAACCAGAAAATTGGAAACTGGACTGCTTATTTGTGAATGTGTCTGCTTGCACGCGTGTGTGTGTGTGTGTGTGGGGGGGGGAAAAATCGTTTCATCCCACAAGATTTTGTCAGGAATAAAATCTAAACTTGCACCATGCTACAAGCTACAACAATGAATTTGAATGGATACTATACATGTTCCTTATGTCACAGTCAGAGGTAAAGGAAAGGATTAGAAATGATGATATCTTTCTTTCTCTAACTAGTTCCAATCCTCCAGGACAAGGCTAATAAGCTTGGCCTTACTGTGGATGTCGGCGTTTGATAAGCTTAGAACCCCCTTGAGACACAAAAGCAAAACATATGTGCCAAAGAATGGGAGGTGACCAATCAGAACACTTTCATTTAGAATGGTCAAAGATCAGACTACTCAGTAGGTAAGGCCTAATTGAATTTCCTCCTTGGCCAGCCGACAGGAATTATGTTTCAGTAAGTGGCATCTTCTGTTAGTAGCCTGATCCAATAGCAGGAGTTAGCTTTGGCCATTGTTGCCACAGGTCAGTTGTGGGTCAGGGTCACTGCCCTGCACATGGGCACATTGATACTGTAGGTGCTGATGTTGATAACCCTGCTATATATTCCCTCTCTCTCTTGCTAACCTGTTGACTCTTGACTTGACTCTCTGTGCTCCCAAGAGCCAACCTAAATAAATAGTCCAGATGACATTATGTAAAATCTCTCACTCATTCATTTACTCACTGTCACACACACAGTGATCAGTGTAAGCTGATTGGAGCAGCTAAGCTCATTGGGAGCTTCCGATCTAAGTGCTGCTGAGTCTTAGCACTGTAGCTTAAACATGGATACTGGAAAATCCTAAATGACCACATAGAGATAATGGGTTTCCATCCACCTGTTTTTGTTATGCACATTTTCAATTTATATGCAATAAAAAGGATGAGTGGGACTCCCAGAAATTTGAAAAATGAAGTCAAAATACAGTGCAAAAAAAGTGATCACTTTAAGATGACAAAACACCGTGTGCCATGAAAAACAGACAGCAAATAAATGATGATGTCCATGAAGCATATAACTTATGTATAACTGCGTATTTTACCACTCAATTTCTAATATTATTTCATTTGAAACACTTACTTACATTTACAAAAGATGTATCTTTAGGGCTCCTCTGCTAAACTCTTTCAGTCTTGTAGTTGTTTTCTCTTGATTGGACAGTGCTGCTGATATTGTTAGTGGTGCAGCCTAGTTAAGCAAATAACTTGTTTAAAACTACAGTAGTTACTGAGAACTTCAGAAGGACTTTACACTCAGTCTTAGTAATGCACTTATGAACACAAGCCAGTCCAGGTGACTACACAGTGCCAGTTTCTACACTTAGAAGACTGAAACTTTCACTCTATTTACAGACTTGAAAAGATGATTAATTTTTTCCCTGGTGAGGTCCCATATCTTTCATGTCACCCAGTGAAATATCACCTAAGTCCACTCTGGGGCTGGAAGCAGGAAATCAATATTAATCTGTCATACTGATTAGCCCAAGTGGCTACCACAAATCTGGATCAGTCCAAGGTACATTACAGCACACTTTTCACTGATTGAGGGGAGTGACAGAATTTTAACATTTCCTTAACACTAATTTCTGTAAAGCAAGAGAGCACTGGATTCTTTCTTTCTTTACATGCTCCTTTGTTAGTTTTTTTCTGTATCCTCCATACTGCTATAAATAAAAGCAGGTTTCTCTGATAATTTGAATTTATTAATATGTATGACATGTTAGCATTCTGTAGTGTCCTTTAGCCTAGCTATGCTGAATATAGGCTAGGCTAATGCCAAGGTAACATGAGGGTAATTCTAAGGCAGTGCTATCCAGTGCTAGGCTAATGCTAGGCTTGTGTCTATTTTTAGGCAGCAGGACGCTATGTTCCTCACTTTCCTACAACACTATCACAGCTCATTTGAATGAAACAGGAACTGCCTCTGTCTGTGTCTATGTATACAGTGAATGATGTAATAGTCTAAGGTGTCCTTGACGATATTTTCCAGACTAATCAATTCTCTCTCTCTGTTTCTCTGTCCTGCAGTAGTGGAGGTGAAGAGCAGCCTCCCATCGGGTATGCAGAGCCCCATAGGAACAGCAAGCGAGCACAGAGGAGGAGGCGGAGAAGGTAGTGAATAGGGAGTCTTCTAGGACTGCTTGAGGGGTGGGTTGTATGTCTCCAAAAGGGGTTCAGTTTAATAGGTTGAATGGTTCCTAAAAGTGGATCACTGGAGTTTCACGGAATGCATAACACCATTCAAAAATCTCCACCTCCATTCTATGCCACATACAGGGGTCCTTTAGGAGGTACCAGAGTCTTAAAGGGGAACTCCACTGATTTTACACATCATAGTCTCATCACAGATAAGGTTGTATAAAGTATTTTGTGGCTCCAGAGGGAGCTACATGAGTTTTTATATATGTCATCAGGTGATGCCACTTGACTCTGTGTTGGTTGGGTCTGAAAACTACAAGTTTGAAAAGTAAAAAAAAATGTGGGCATGTGGAATTAGAGAGCAGTGATATGGTCAGATATCTGTTCCTCGTCTATGCTGGAGGCTAGTGACTCCAGACTACATTAGCTGCTACTAGTATAACACCACCAGTGAGCGAACTGCCAGTGGTCAGGTTGCATTGTGGGTAATGTAGGTTCTGGGTTTCAGAAAAGAAGTAGAATGCATAGAGTAAAAAAAGGCCGTTACTCTGGTTCTGGTGCATATATTCTGACCATTTTGCCAGTTTTTTTAAATTGACAGTCGAGTCCAACAATATTCTAGGAGGTCAGTGTAAAATTGAACCGAATTTATGCTTGATACAGACAGTAAAGCTTGATTTATAGTTCTGCTTTGCATTTACATCATAGATACGGCATGGGTGATGTGTAGCCTCCTACCCTACCCTGTGTCCTATGCCGTAGCCTGACATGAACCTCTCCAAAAATGTAACTGCATGTCACGGCGACACAGACCGCAACAACTGTGATTGGTTGCATCACATTTCCTCGTTCATGGCTCTTAGTAGCCAGACAAGCACAGAAAATACTCCTCATTCTGTGTTAGTTGGCTCAATGGTCATACAGACCATCTCCTCTGACATCTTCTCTTTTATCTGCATTGCACTAATTTCAGTAAAGGTACCTGCTGTTCAGCATCTATTAGTTTTACCTCCCAACGTGACAACGTATAAATGCTCACAACAGTATAGGTCACTTGTGGAGCCTATGTGTGGGCTCTACATGGATTCAACACAGAACCATAAATCAAGCTTTAATGGAAACCCTGCTGTAGATACCTATAGCATAGGCGTAGGTTTTGATTTATAGTTCATTGTCAGTAAATGTATTGGGTTTTTGCTGATACTAGTGCTAAAATAATACTTTTAAAATGGTGCCGGTGCCTAAAAAAGATGCATAAAACCAGGCCATAAATTTCATAATTTGAAGGACAAGGACATTTGGCCTTCAATTTCATACTTTTTCAGAGGGAACAATGGCCACTTGACTGGGCGCTAAGGCTGAGACAAATGACATGATATGTATGTGTATGTAGCTTATGTATACAGCCTGAGCAGTAAAGTTACAAACTGTACTCTAGTTTGTCCAGAGGTTTGTAGAATGGTTAATGGGAAATATGCAGAGATAGTATTAACTGTGCACATTTAGACTCAAAGGCAGGCTAAACTCTTGTTGGTTTCTGCTGATGTTTCCTAAGGTCACAGGTCAGAAGAATCATGGATGTATTGAGGAAAAAACAGAGGAAAGGACATCCAATTTCTCTTAATTACATATGCAGGGCATCACAGCCAGATGCCAGGGCGATGAGGGCCATGGCCCCATGACTGTTGTGAAATTTATACCCTACATAAAACAAAGGTTGATGACATTAAAAAAAAACATTACCGTTCATTCCCAGCTCCAACTTCTGTGCTCCAAGGTAAATGGAACCTAGCATAAATGTAATGATGGCATTAGCACGTTAACATGCAGTGATGGTTCTGTTGCCTGTGTCATCCGTTTCACAGCATCAGAGGGCAAATATTTAAATCAACAGGCATTTAAGTGGGACCGAAATGAGGCACTGAAATCTGCATTGTGATTCAGTGTGGTAGATACCGATTGTATAGATTTCGGTACCAATCCCTAATGACAGTGCAATTGCAAAGTTTATGTTCAGTCATCATAGCAGTGAGCAGAAGGTTTGCAGTGGAAATGGGTTTGCTGGATGTGAAGGAGACCATCTTTGCTGGTAGAGAAGAAAGATGTAGTAGAACTTGAAACATGATGCAGAAAAAGAAAATGAATTAACAAAAATCAAAACTTGAAAGGTAAAACAAAGGTAAAAGCAAGACAGCAGACAGAATAAAAGCGACAAATGGAGCAAGAAAATCTGCAGTGTGGTCAGGATGAGTCAAGTTGACCTCTTGTCCTCGCTGCTTTTCCAGGAGAAGGCCCAGGAGGAGGAGGTCCAGTGGACCTGCGGACAGAGCCCAGGGTGGGGTCTCTGTCTGGGGGTGCAGCAGTGGTGGACACAGCCCTGAGAGAGCAGCAGCTCCAGCATGAACTGGTGCTACTGAAACAGCAGCAGGAACTCCAGAAACAACTGCTGTTTGCAGAATTCCAGAAAAAACATGAAGTGCTAACAAGACAACATGAAGTCCAGCTGCAGGAACACCTGAAGGTAGGTAGTCAAGTAGTCACTCATTTAGTGAGTGTCAGAACCTACATGGAGAGTAAACGTCAGTACTGACTTTCATCTCTTGAAGACGAGCCATTCAGTAAAATGCCTATGGGTATATATATGTGTGTGTGTGTGTGTGTGTATGTGCGTGTGTGGGTAAGCAACAACAGGAACTGCTGGCAGCAAAGCGGCAGCAGGAGCTGGAACAGAAGAGGAAACTGGAGCAACAAAGACATGAAGAGCAGGAGAAACAGAGGCTAGAGCAACAACTGCTGCTGCTGAGGAACAAAGAGAAAGGCAAAGAGAGTAGGTTACACTGTTGCTACAGCTATCTCTTCCATGCTGTACACATGTTTGCTTTATGTCTGCACGCCAGTGTAGTGTGTCCTGATTACTGGTTGTGTGTGTGTGTGTGTTTTGGAAGGTGCCATTGCCAGTACAGAGGTGAAGCTGAAGCTGCAGGAGTTCCTTCTCAGTAAGAAAGAGCCTGGTCCCGGAGGACTGAACCATTCCTTCTCCCCAAAGTGCTGGTGAGGATAGTGAGAGCACAACTTGTCCCTAAAGAGATCAGTAAGGCCACGTTCAGACTGAGTTTCAAAGGTGTTAAAAAAACTCATCTCTCCCCGATTAATTTTTACTGGAGATTGCATTCACTGCAGCCAGCACCAGCACCGCAGGGGGTTCTGGCTAAATGACACAACCTAGTCCAGTGAAAAAGTTGGGTCTGGTTCAACTTACATTGGATGGTGACATCATGGGGCAAAGGTGTTGCATTGGCTAATCACAAACAGGGGACGATTAGGACATGGGCGGGAAGGAGACTCTTTTGTTTACCTTGTTAGCGTGAGCATTCACTGCTATTCACTGTCAAATTTGGGCCACAGTTAACACACCATAATGACACGCTATGCATTTCACTTACTACTGGATGATAAACTGTGTTTCTTATCTATCAGTGCTGTCACACTGGTGGTAGAATTGGTGCTAAGGTAGAGTAGGCTACATTAGCAGCATGGCTAACAAAACAAAATGGAAACTCCTGGGCTGAAAACTTCAGTGAAGCCACTCACATCGACTTGTCACAATGCAGCCATAACATAACACGCCTACAACACTCCCCTGGCATCCCATCAGCCTCCTGACCAACACAGCCCCTTGAATTGGCAGTTGTGTTTTTACCGAATTAGACTGAATGCCTGCTAATATCTCTGTAGCAGTGCATATTGACTCATTCCCAGGTGAGGTTCCTTGACATTATTATGGGAGCATTTTTTCGTAAATGTATAATTTTTAATGTAGATTTAAGCTCTATTGTCTATATGAATGGTCATTAAGGCTAGGACAGAAAGAGCAGAATAGAGAAGAATACAATACAGCATTGCCTACCAGAGTGGAAAATTGTCTTTGACTCTACAAAATGTAAAAGCTACAGAAGAATATGTAGCATACATAACAGAAATCACTGAAATAAAAGATATTTATGAAATGTCAAAGAGAGAATAGGTGGTGCTCATGGCTTCTCTTGTCCTGACGGTGAGCATTCAGCTTCATCTGAGGCTTCCCACGTGGTTTTGCTGGCAAAAAAAAGGCTAATTGTCACTGAGCTAGATGCATTTTTTTGCGCGCATCCTCATACAACAGTTCACAATTCCATTGTGTCAAATGTGTCTATTCACACTGACTCCGACACTCGCGTGTAAGACATGCCTCACCCCCAGACCTCCCATGTTTCTTACACTTCAAGATTATCTTTTCTTTTCCTCCGGTGCGTTTAGTGAAGCATAATCGCCCCAGACCGCTGTTTAAATCACACAAATCCCCAAGTTTGTTTTTCTGTTACAGACTTATTACTGATATTTGTTATGATCAGACTCTTGGTGTAACTCTGGGCTTTTTGGTTACATTTAACCTGGTGTCTGTAGCAAGTCAGGCTGCAGCCTGGGAGAAAACAGAAAATACTCTTCTCCATTTGTATTATTTTCACTTTCACACTCACTGCTGTTGTCCAGCAGTGTCACCTCTTTCTTTCATGCTTCATATTAAAAAAAAATCTGAAATCCTGTTAGGTCTCACTAACATATATTTTCATATCAGACACCTCTGTCTAAATGACTTGAACAGATAGATGAATAAGAAGTACTGCATATCTGAAAAGGGCTACAGATGACATGATGCCATGTGCTTCCCAGCAGTCCCAACAGCAGCTGTAAAAGTGTCCTTGATCTAAAACAACAAAACAGAAGTCGGGTTTTGGTGTCAGTTCTTGAGAGGCCTTTTTTCTAAACCCACTTTTCAACACTGTTCATCAGTAATACTCATTGATTTAAATAAGAACCACAGAGAAAATATTTCCACAGAAACAAAAAAATAACAGGAAAAGCTTTCTAGAAACTGTAGACAGTCACTAAACGTGGCAGAGGTCCACTAAGCAGAGTGACAGAAAATGACTTTTAATGCAGAACTTCAGCACTAAATATTGTGAAACTGGCTGTATTTGGCTTTCTCCTTGTGTTTGTGTGTGTGTGTCTGTAGGGGAGCCCAGCACACCTCCCTGGAGCAGAGCTCTCCCCCGCAGAGTAACACCCCAGGAACTCCTCCCTCCTATAAACTGCCCCCACTACTGGGGAATTATGAGGGCAAAGATGACTTCCCACTCCGCAAGACAGGTAGGAGACACAGACTGAGGCAGAGACAGACAGAGGGAGGGTGTGTGTCTGTGTGATTTATCACTTTCCATGTACTGTAAAAGTAGCTTGACAACTGACTATGTGGAGGTGGAGTGTTTATATGTATATGTGTGAATGTGTGTGCCTGCTTTGATGACTCAGTTTGACTCACCAGTGAAGAAGTAGTCCAAACCTAGAGATATCTCTCTCACACATACATATACAGTTTCAGACATATCTGACACCATGTGAAATTATTTTTTCTGAATGTGTCTATTTGAGCTCAGAGGTGAGGGAATGGAACTGGTCCTGTACAGGAGCCTCCACTGCTATTGTTTTGTCTGACAAGCTTTCTGTTCTCATGTGCCAAATATGCGGTTTACAGTAATAATCAAAATGCAGGTAATTTTTGAAATTGTAAATAGATTTCCACCCGCTTGTTTTTCTGCACACTTCCAACTTTTGCATAAAAATATGTGAGTGGAAAAAGTTGATCCATTATCTATACCGCTTATTCCTGAATAGGATCATGGGGGCGCTGGAGCCAATCCCAGCCGACATTGGGCGAGAGGCGTGGTTAGACAGGTTGCCAGTCTGTCACAGGGCTGACATGTAGATAAGCAACCACACACACAGTCACACTCACTCCTATGGGCAATTTAGAGTCACCAATCAACCTAAGCTGCTCATCTTTGGACTGTGGGAGGAAGCCAGAGTACCCAGATAGAGCTCACCCAGGCGCAGAGAGAACATGCAAACTCCGCACAGAAAGGTCCCGGGTCGGCCCGGGCTCGAACTTGGAACCTTCTGAGACAATGGCACTAACCACTGCTAAACAAGCAGTGCTAAAAAAGTTGATGTATTGCAAAAGGTTTTTACAGACTGTAAACAATTGAGTGCAAAAGTTTGCATCCCCTTACTTTGAAATGGCAGAAAGAGTAAAATAAAGAAGTTTTTTTCTCATCAACGTAATATTTAATGCACATTCAGCTAAAAAATGGTCAGAGTGTATAAAAAGACTCAACTGTATCTCAGTATGTCCCACCTCCCAATGTAATAACAATAAACACTCTGAATAGTACAATAGTAATTCATATTTTCTTTTGTAGATTTTCCAGAAATTTTCTTAAAGTTGCAATGGAAATGATTAATGGGTTCCTTGATTTCAAACAGATACACTAAACCTGCTTCTCATTTCTAGCTGTCAAATATAGTTTTCTGGCTGAAAGTATGAGTCTATGAGCTGCAGCTACTGTAGCTGACTTTTTCAAGTGAACCTCTAACTCCACAAACTAACTCTAGGCCTCAGAAGTAAAGCTCTCTTACTGTTACTACTCTTACAGCGGAGTGGGTTTTTAGTGGTCTTTTTTTTTTGCTCTAAGCTGAGCAGTTTTCCCTCCTGTCTCTCTGGCTCTCTCCCAGTCTCAGAGCCCAACCTGAAAGTGCGTTCACGGCTGAAGCAGAAGGTGGCAGAGAGGCGGAGCTCTCCACTTCTCCGCAGGAAGGATGGAACTGTTATCAGTACCTTTAAGAAGAGAGCCATAGAGATATCAGGTAAACATGCACACACATATATGCTGTACATACTGAGATGACAAGAATGTACTAATATCAAAAGGAATTTACACAACTTGCTTTAAATAAATTCTTCAACAATAAATTGGATGTTTTATTAATGTGAAGATTAATTCTTTACTCTCTCTCTCTCTAGTCTCCTCTCTCTGTAATAGCGCTCCAGGTTCAGGTCCCAGCAGTCCCAACAGTTCTAATACAGCTATTGCCAATGGCAACACGGGGTCAGTCCCCAACATACAGACTGAGGTATACACACAAACACACAATTACATAGGCCCTTATTATCTGAAATGTATTGTATTCAGGCTCATGCAGTACATGGGTTGCATGAAACAAATGTAACCCTGTCTATTGCTAATTAAAGTTGTTGAAGTGTTGTTTACATGTTCTTGTTGGAGTGTCATGTTTTTGTGTTGCTGCGTAGGAACACCATTTCTGTGATGTGCGTCAGCATAAAGTGGACAGTTTTATTTATTAGCAGATGTGTTTGATATTGACATTAAACAGTTATTAAATATACACACAAGTAGCCAAGCACAAAGAATGCCACTCTAGAAAGAGGATGACTTGATTTGAGAAAGCTACTGTTAGTCAGCGTTTATAGTAAATGTTAATACAATGGTTACCATACCAACCCAGCATCAGTGCATAATCATTAGACCACCCTCTCTACTATGGCTAAGGATCCGTAGAGCAAAACACCTAAAACCTAAACTAACCAGTCTGCCTGTGTGTCTGTCTGCAGCTGAGATCTCTCCATCAGACACTGGGGGCTGATGGGACATTGAGTCCTCTGAGTCTTTACACCTCGCCCTCTCTGCCAAATATTTCCTTGGGCCTCCCCGCCAACACACACATAACGGTTGGTCAACTCAGTACACGCATTCACTTAAACAGAAACATATGGTGCTAGTGCTGTCAATGAATATTTATTATGTATGTATGTAATCAGACATTGTAAAAAAAAAAATCAGATATTTGACTGTGAAAATTTATATTCAGTGGTCAGGAAAAAAGCAGCACTAACAAAATAGCTAAATAATTAAATTAAATAATTATTTAATAAATGTTTGTGTGTTTACAGAAAAATGTACAAACACCTTATGCCTGCTTCAGACCACATGGTTTAAGCCCGATAACAGCCTGACCTGATGGTCATATGATGTTGGAACCGGCAAACTGTGTGGGATATAACAAACGATCGTTTTAATCTCGTATAGTGTGTCATAGTAAGCAACAGCCGATGTCGCATCTGGGACACCTCATGACATCCCAACACAAAGTCTAGCATGTTAGAATTTTTTTCTACATCTACGACATGGTGAGGCCATGCTCACCAAAAGGAGCACACTATGTTTTAAAGCCGTTTATGTTGTGCTTTACAATCTGGGACCAAGGATGTCACATGGCCTGCAGTTAGACTGTAGGCCAATACAAAAATGCCACACAAGTGACTGTGTAGCACTTAGCTAATACTTGACTGGGTAATAACCATGGTAATGCCCCCTCTCTCTACAGGCCCCCCAGAAGCTGTCTACCCAGCAAGAAACTGAACGTCAAGCCATCCAATCACTGCGTGGAGGTGGAGCTCTAACAGGAAAGTTTCTCTCCACATCTTCCCTACCTGCAGGTAAACCTAAACATAGCTCACAGTTAAGGAGCTTTCATATTTAACGTTTATATAATAGTATAATATAGCATATGTATAAACATTAGTATAAGCAGAAGGCATTAGTTCTTTTGATTAGTTTATGAAATTTGTTGTATTATTTGAAGGTTTTAATTAATTAGTAATGTTTCTTCGCAGGGGTGGGGCATGATGTGGAGACCCCGCCGCCCAGCTCTCATTCTGCCCATTCCTCGTTATTACAACATGTACTGCTACTGGAGCAGGCCAGACAACAGACTGCAATGCTAGCTGGTATAAACACACATAAGTCGACTGAAGTCTACTACTAACATTAGTGATAGTGTCCAACCATAGTGTCTAACTTACTGAACATCTGTTATGACCCTCGACCCCCTCAGTCCCCATGTACAGCCAGTCACCGCTGGTTACTGCAGAGAGAGGAGTATCTAGTAGCATGCGGACAGTCAACAAGCTGCCTCGCCATCGGCCATTGGCTCGGACCCAGAGTGCACCTTTGCCCCAGTCCCCCCAGGCCTTGCAGCAGCTGGTGCTTCAGCAGCAACACCAGCACTTCCTGGAGAAACACTACAAGGTACACGTGTTCACAGACACACATTTACAAGTGCACATATTCAGGTATTAATGTTGCCTTGTGTGTGTAGATGCTATCAAAGGGAGCAGAGCTTCCCAGGCCACCACCCACCCACCCAGAGGAGACAGAGGAGGAGCTAACGGAGACCAGTGACATGCAGGAGGACATCGAAGAGTCGGGCCCCCACAGGTGCAGTACTTATGATAACCCATTAGTTAGTATCAATAACTGAGTATTTTTTATTTATGTGTGTAAATGTAAACGCCTTTATGTTGCTTGTAAGTCTACCCTAATACTTTGACCAATCAGGCTTCAGAAGGAGGGGTCTGATGACAGCACCTCCCCCTCTGAGCGGCTTGGTGTGCACGTGAAGGGTGAAGATGATCGTGGGGGCATGCATGTGAAAGGGGAGAGCACTGAGAGTGAGCTGGATGAAGAAGAAGAGGATGAAGAAGTCATCCAGCTGAAGGAGTGCAGTGAGGAGGAGAGGGGAAGCTATACGCAGGTTTGTGTGTGAACACAATGCTTCCTTCTGTAGAGACTAAAGCTATGTTCACACTACATGCTATCCCTTCATGTAGTGTTTTTAAAATGTCCCACCTCTGCGCATGCGTATGTTGTCTTTCATCATCATTCAGTCTTGGAACCTTGCAGGCTGGTCATAAACAAACATAGAGGAGAGCAGCAACATGTATGGAGGTCAGCAGAGACATGAGAACATTTCACTTTTGTTTAACATTTATGAAAAAGCTTCTGATCAAGCCAAAATAGGAGCATATCAACTGGGAAGTCTTTTAGGGAATTGTGCAGTTTGACTGTTGCACAAATAACGCAGTTGTTATTCTTCCAAAAGTAATGGATGAACAAATAATCAGTGTTGGGCAGTAATTCATAATGTATTACAGTAATGTTATTACTTTTTCAGTAACAAGTAGTGTAAGGGATTGCAATATCCAAAACAATAATATTACACGGCATTGCTGCATTGCCTGGACCCAATATTTGTCCTAGGTGGACTATCTCATGATGCATTCATCCAAGCAGGTTCAAGTTGGCTACTAGTCAAAAAACTAAACAGAGAATGGAGGATGACTGTGAGAGGCATGCTTTCACCAGCAGGAAGTATTGTCATTATAGTGAGTGTATTCCAGGAGGGCAAAGGCTCACTCTCGTGGCTGCCAGTTGTCTGAAGTTCAAACTCCCATGGCTGAGAGATGAGGGTAGGATAGTATGTGAGGGAGCCTCTGACAGTGTCACATAATTACTCCTGCAGAGGAGCCTGCCTAACCAGTGTCAGTGGTTCAGGGAAATGGGACTTTTTTGCATTTGAAGATGAGCCAAAGGACAGCTACTCACTAGGAAAAAAGTGTGTTGGGGGGTGTCAGGGGGATCTGGAGCTGAGACTCCACCATTTTTCAAGCATGAAAAACATCTACCCGAAGTACAACACTGAGCCCATCTAGTTCACCTGTGGAGCAGCTGTTTAGCTTAAGCAGTTTGTGCTCACCCCTAGAAGAGAGGGTCTGATAAGAGATTGGAGAAATGAGATGCAGTCACAGCTTCATTTCCGAACAGTAGGATGTAGCTTGAAAAGTCTGTGCACTTAAATTGAAAAACATGTGGGTGTGGAGTTGGAATCATTTACAGACGTCTTTGATGGAACTGACAGAAAGAAACAAGTAGTGTAACACATTGCTTTTGCTGTCGAATAATAAGTCATGTAATTACTTTTTAAAATAATGTGTAATAACTAATTGATTACAGTTTTCAAGTAACTTGCCCAACACTGAAAATAATTAGGTAAAAGTGAAGAAAAGTAAAAAGACAAATGGTTGAAACATCAAGCTTCTGACACTGCAAGTGGTGGTTGTGTGGCTACAAACAAAACCAACCCATAAACTGATAACTGTATGAAAATTTGTTTTGTAACACATGCTTTTGTTGCATTATTTGCTACTGTATTTTGTCCACTTTAAAATAATTTAAACTAAATCCATGTAGTATGTGATGGGTGGTCAACTGAGCTCATCTGATCCTTGACGTGGGGGTACGTCAGACAAAAGAGATGAGGTTCCAAGTAAGTCTGAAACTCAGAGCATTTTGGTTACACAGCATCATCCTAGAGAGGGATGAGTCACACACATGCATCATCAGCCAGCCTCCTGCGGTTATTTATCTCACTTTCTTTGCTGTGTTACAGATGTGGTTACGTATTACCTATCTGACTCATCGCTGCTAATGATTGGCTTTATACACTAAACCTGAAATGGCTTCAGGCGTTTTTCACCTTTGTGTGATTGTTTTCACACATAGAAATCCTGAGCTGCACTGCATTGTGTATCAGTCTTAAGAGAATTAGATTTGTTTACCTGTACAGCATATTACCCTTTTCAAAGATTAGTCTGTGGATAACTTAAAGTTTACTTCACATCATCTCATTTTTTCTACCACCTGCCATTTTAATTAGCTGACTCCACAGTCAGATTGTTTCACATGTACATTGTATTAACCCTAATAACTAATTTAGGCTTTTCTGAATTGCCAACATGAGAGGAAATCTTTGAACCCCCGTTAAACATATGTGTTTAGTTTTACCCATTCAGTATGACAAGGTGCAGCACTAGACACACTAGCTAGAAAACTTAAGTCAAAATCTGTGGCTCTTGTTGTGTTGTGTCTCAGAGTGCCATCTGCCTGTGAGCCAGTGCCAGTTTCAGTCAGTGTTAGACCAGTGTGATTACTGCTTCATGCAAATACATATTAAAATTAAATGATTTGATTGTGTGACTGCAGACCAACACAATTGATTTTTTTTTCCTTGGGACATTTGATTTGCAGAGCACATGTGTTAGCTGTAGCAGAAAAATCAGGCAATTTAATTTCACTTGGACTTTGAAGCTGCACTAATCACAATTTTTATTTAAACAATCAGTAAAATTTTTGTGTGTAATATGAAAGGTTTTGTTAATAGTGATAAACACACAAATTTTAAGTTATCTTCAAGCCTGCACAGCATTTTACTGTCACTGAGCTAATTGTTTTGGTTTTACAACTAAAGAGTTTGATATTTCCCCTGTGGGGTAGTGAAGACGCGAGCAGAGCGAGAGCGAGAGCGAAAATGAAAACTGGACTTGCACAACTCGATATAAATGCTAATATTGCTGCAGTTCTGCTGGATGCTTTAACATGCAAACATTTGCTGTAACAATTTCACAAGGTGATAATAAATCTGTTTTGTTTACAGTTTGTTACTGTGCCACCAAGATGCCAAAAAATAATGAATGCAGTTTTAAATAATAGTGATGTTTTCAAACAGAATCAAGTGCCATCTGATAGTCACTTAATATGTACACAAATACTTTACATTCCTTCAGGTGTTTTCTGCCCTTTGATGGTTTTCACAGGTGTCTTGTGAGCAGAAGACATAGTAGACAAACGGCATATATGTTGTTGACCACGGTCTTTCCAATGTGTGTATGTGTGACATTTAACAGAAGACATAAGGAACTCAGCAGTTGGCCTTTGTCTAACTCACTGACGTTCGCTGTGTGTGTCAGGATCCCTTAAACTTTAGCAGGAGTCATGTCTTCAAACTCCACCTTACACACTTCAGTGCTTTTTCATTGCTCTCTTTTCTCTGACCATTGTTCACTGTGGATGGTGTTTGTGCTTGAGGAAAAATTAGCTTTTACTTGAGGAGAGGGTTGAACACATCATTTTAAAATGTATGATTACATTTACCTGGATAGAAGCACACAAAACAGGATGAGTCATTGGAAGAAAGCTTTGACTTTTCAAAGAAAAGGGCAGTAAATATAAAATTGCACAACACGTAATTGTTGTGACATTGGGTCATTATCCTGCTGTAGGATGAAACCCTGAGAAGGTCAGACTTTTTTTGTTAATTTTCTTCTTCCAAAAAATGCATCAGAGGGGGAAGTAAGTATCATAATCTTTTCCAGCATTGCCTTTGTACAGATAGAATTTGTTGTAAGTAATCAACACAAGTTGTAGCAAGCTGTTGCACAAGCTGTAGGAGTTGTTTGCATCAGTTTTCAAGGCTTCATTTACTTCCACTTCCACAGAAAAGATGGAAGTTAAGCTGGTTATTTGATCCCTGAAAAAGACCATTTTTTAAATTACATTTACACAAATTTTTAGCTTTTATTTATTTTCTTTACCTCTGCCGCTGTCAGTATTAATCTACAATGTAGACAACAGAAACTACAAAGCCAAATCAGAAAATGTTGGGATGGTATGTAAAATCAAAATTAAGACTGAAAACAGTGATGTGTAAATCATCTGTGTCCTGTATTACATTGAAAACAATACAGCAGCACATTATTTGATGTGATACCTCATCAATTTTATTCTTTGTTCAAAATAAACTCTCATTTCAATTCTGATTCCTGCAACACATTCCAAAAAAAAGTTGCAACAGCTGCATTTCAGGGCCAGTAATGAGGTAAAACAATGAAATGATGATTCCATTTGAAACAGGAGATGTCAACAGGTGACTGCATCATGATTTGGTACAAAGGTGGCATCCAGGAAAGGCCAAGCCCTTTAGGAGCAAAGATGGGATGAGGATCACCAGTTTGACAACATATGTGTGAGAAAATTATTGAAATATTTAAAAACAATATTCCTCAGAGACAGACAGGAAGGGATTTGGACATGTCACCCTCTAACATAATTACATGATTCAAGGAATCTGGAGAGATTTCAGTGTGTAAAGAACAAGGGCTAAGTCTAAGCTGGATGACCGTGCTCTCTGGTCCCTCAGATGACACTGTATCAAGAATCATCATTCTTCTATAAGCGATATAACCACATGGGCTCAGGATCACTTTGGCACAACTGTGTCAGGCACTACAATACGTAGTTACATCCATAAATGCTGCTTAGAACTGTACTGTGCCATTAATGCTGAAAAATACACATAAATTTTGGAGCAACATATGCTGCCTTCAAGACGACATCTTTTCCAGGGGCGCCCATGCATATTTCAACAAGACAATGCAAAACCTAACATCGCACACATTACCAAGGAATAGGGTGTGAGTGCTGGACTGGCCTGCCCACAGTCCCACCCTGTCCCCAACAGAGCATGTGTGGCACATGTTGAAACACAAATTGCATCAACAAAGACCCAGGTCCATTGCACGCATAAGACTTGTTTTCACGAAGACTGGGACAAAACTACACCTGACACGCTTAATCACTTGTTGTCCTCAGTCCCTAAATGTCTTTTAAAGAGAACAGCAACATCACACTGTGGTAAATGCTTTGCTGTCCCAACTTTTTTTGGAATGTGTTACAGGCATCAGAATTGAAGTGGAGTGTTTATTTTGAACAAAGAATAAAGATGATGAGGGGTCACATCAAATAATGTGCTGCTGTCTTGTTTTTGATGTAATATAGGACACAAATGGTTTACACATCACTATTTTCACTTTTAATGTTGATTTTACATAACATCCCAAATTTTTCTTGATTTGGGGTTGTAAGAAAAAAACATTGAAAGAGAAGGTGTATGTATACAGATGGGTGACAAATTAAAGGAAAAAACAACATAACAGTGCCACCAGAATGCTCCTTAGCATCGACTTTCCAAGTCTCTGAACTCTGTTGGAAGGATGACACAGTGCTTCCTAAAGATGTTCCCTCAGGTAGTGTTTTGATGATGATGGTTGAGATGCTGTCTAGCGCTTTGCTCAGTCATCTCCCATAGAGGTTTAACTTGGTTGAGATCTGGTGAGTGAAGGTCCTAGCATATGATTCACATCATTTTTATACTCATCAAAATGTTCAGTGACCCCTAGAGTCCTAAACTCTACTTGCACTGAAAGCACACGAGCCTCCCTGCTGGAGGGGCCCGGTCCAAACTAAGCCCAACACTGCAGTGAGATCAGCAGCTGGTGACTCAACCACTGGACTCACTGCTGTGTGTGTGTTCCTGAATGTCTGTATATTTTCAAGCGAGGGAGTGCTATATTGTCTGTATATATATATATATATATATATGTTTACACTACAGAATGTGTGTGTCTGCAGTGCTTGCACAAAGCTTGAAAAATCATACACTGACATTTTGTGGAGGTTGTGATAAGTGAAATTTCAGGACGTTCAGTCAAATTGCCAAAAGAACTACATTTACATCTCCAGTCCATTCAGCCAGTCAGTAAGTCATTCTTAATTTGTTAGCATGCTTTCAGCCTAACACTGAATTTATGAATGATACACTATTTAGAATTGTAATAATTTCATTGTGTGTGCGTGATGACAGGGAGAGAGATGGGAGCAGGGTTGGTGTTGGTGTGCACACACACATGCACTTTCATCATTGCAGTGAATGAACTGATCTCTGATTCATTCATCTGCTATGAATCATAACTTTCTCTCCTCCTCTGTTCCTCTTCCCTTTTCCATCAGGCCTTGCAACAGATGGGTGTGTTCCAGTCCTCGTTGCCCCACAGACCTCTGGGAAGAGCGCAGTCCTCCCCTGCAGCCACTGTCAATCCTGTCAAGCACCTCTTTACTACTGGTCAGTTTATGTGTGGGTTTTTCATGTGTGCACATTCGGTTTGTGATTGGATATGAGTTTGACATCAGCAGTGTCTGTCCGCCCACTGTCAGCCACCACACTTGTTGCCTAGCAACAGAGAGACAGCACTCTGTTGGCTGAGGGTTCAGATAAACAGTGTACAGAATAAAATACCATAGATTTTAATTTAGTGTTTCCTGTTCTGTAAAATTTGATTATGTTCATGTAAGAACCTTCATTAGTGTTATATGTCATCACTTCATTTATATGTTTTCCTTTGCTGTGTTGATGCCCATCTTTGTTCACATTCCTTGCTTTTGTTAAACTTTAAAAGCACTCCTGAGGTTCAGCGGACAGCAATAACTGTCTACCTCTCAAGGATCTTATTGTCAAATGTGTGCATGGACTTTAGATTTATATTAACATGAGCTCTACATCATTTAGTGAGTCGAGTGGATTAGAATGTTTTAACATCGTCTTAGCTTATGTTTGAATCCTGGAACGCCTGTAATGACATCTAAAACATACAACTGAAATTGTCAAGGAAAATAATCAAATTTAGTTATTGAAGAAGGTTGACTAACATTTAGGAAGAATGTTAGAGTTTCACTCCTGTGTATGTGTCTATGGCTGAGTATGAGTATATATACTCCACAGGATGCCTGTATCTTTGCCACACAGCTTCTAAAGGTTTCTGCACCTCTAGAACAAATATCACATAATCACCAAAATACCAGTACAAAATTTAGGGTAGAATGTATAACCTAGTATTTAATACTGCTAATAGAAATCAAAAATGTAAAGAACTAGGAAAAGAACTATAAAAACACTAAAATCTTCACCATCTTGACAAATCTTGAATGAATTCATCTTTGCTTCAGTCTAGAAGTCAAGTTTTTTTTGTTTTTGTTTTAATTTACTTTGTTTTCTGTGGCATGTATAGCTACACATATATTGTAGGTCAGGTCAAACAATATGTGTGTGTTCAGACAGACAGTAAAATTTGGTTCCATCTTAGCTGAAATAGGTAGCCTGGCTGTGTGGTGCCAGAACACTGGGCTTTGATTCAGTGATTAAAGAAGAAGTCGATGAAAAGAGCAAGTCTGTATGCGGGTCTCCTCCAAGCTGTTAAGAGTTCCAAAGACAGCAGCTGCAGCGTTAAACAAAGCAAAGTACATTTGTGGTTGTTGTGGGTCACAAGTTTACAAGTAAAAATCATGCAGTAGTAAAAAAGAAACTGTAGTAACAAAAGATGAAAATAGTTATTATGGCTGTATAAGTAAAATATATGCAGTATGCACACTTAACTGTTTATTTGTGGTGCAGGTTTTAAACCTTTTTATTTATGGACAACTTGCATGGGCGGAGTTATAAAGTTTTAAAAGGGTGTGAGTCCTGTTTGATGATTTGTGTCCGACCAGATGTTAACATCTGATGGTTGGGACACTAAAACTTTTCTCACACTTCCTATGTACAGTATGGCTTATTAAAATATGTCTGTCAGAGGGCTTGGCTCACACACTCGTAGCTTCTGACATTTTGTGGAGTTTATTTGTTGCTACAAACAGGATAATATTATGGAAGCCCTCAATAGACACTGAGGTAATTTATTGTTCTTTGTAATGTTTTTAATGCTCATTTTTTTTACCCATTCGCCAAGGAGGTTATGATTTTGGATCAGTGTGTGTGTGTTGGTTAGCAGGATTACGGACAAATGGCTGGATGGATCAGCAGCATGCTTGTTACAGACACTGGTGGGGACCAACCCTAGAAGTGATTAGATTTTGGTTGAAAAGGGTCAAGGTCACACAAAAAATCACAGAAAGTTGCTATCTTTAAAATGGGGCAAAAATTTTAAAATTGCCATCAAAAGTTATCCAAATCATTTGAAATTTAACACACATGTGTACGGTGGCAATGTCTATCACTAGACTAAAGTTCATCCAGATCTGATCTGGATTATGGATCTGACGGCCATTTAAATTTAACACTGAAAACCCCATTTAATGCATATTTTCTGCCATAGCTTGGCCTGTAATGAAGACAGAACCCTGAAATGTTCAGGTAAGATGCACAGTGTAACTGCCTATCATACCCTGAAAGATGATCCGGATGTGTTGTTCTGGAACCCATTTGCGTGAGTGAATGTTGTGCCTTGGTGGAGGTACCTGCGCTCTCTAAGTGCTCTTGTTATTGGAGTACTGGTTTTTATTTGTGAATGTGTGGTATTCACAGCCGTCTCTTCTCACTGTCGCTCCAGGGCTTGTATATGACAGTCTGATGTTGAAGCATCAGTGTGTGTGTGGCAACGCACACATCCACCCAGAGCATGCTGGGAGAGTGCAGAGCATCTGGTCCAGACTGCAAGAGACAGGCCTGCTGGGACGCTGCGAGGTACACATACACACACTTAAAAGTTATTTTTTTTCTAATGTGCAAAACTCAGTCTGTCTCTCTGTCTGTGTGTGAGCAGAGGATTCGTGGGCGTAAAGCATCTCTGGATGAGATCCAGTCAGTCCATTCAGAGTTTCACACTCTGCTGTATGGAACCAGTCCACTCAATCGACACAAACTGGACCACAAGAAGCTGCTGGGTACTTGTTTGTTTGTCTGTCTGTCTGTCTGAGTGACCAGTAGGGCTGTGCAAAATAATACCACAGTATTGAAATTTATTTTTGTAATATCAATATTCAGGACAACACAATGCAGTACTACAGTATTTATTGTTAATTGCATCAAATAAACTGTAACCAGAACTGTGCTGTTATTTAGACCTCATAGAAACTTGTGCATTCACCTCACAAGATTTCTTGCTTTATTTGCATTTGGGTGAATGCTGCTAGTTTTGCTACATGAATAAAAAGATCAAGTTAGCAGTGCATTATTTATGACATGTTTACTGCAGTAACTAAACAAATATAGGTATTTCTGTATATGTGTGTGTCCAGTCTAACGTGTATTGAATGTATTTGCTCACACGCTACAGCATGTGTAAATGCTGTTTTTGTTTTTTTTTGTTGTTGTTTTTTTCCAGGTCCAATTAGCCAGAAGATGTATGCTGTTCTTCCCTGTGGAGGAATAGGGGTGAGGCTGTCTTTCTGGCTGTTCGTCCATTTCTCTGTCTGTATGTTACACTGTAAATACTAAGTTTAAACCTAGACTATGCTCTGTGCTTCCCCCTGCAGGTGGACAGTGATACAGTGTGGAATGAGATGCACTCATCCGCGGCGGTCCGTATGGCGGTCGGTTCAGTCATTGAGCTGGCCTTCAGAGTGGCGGCGGGGGAGCTGAAGGTAACACACAGATATACTGACAAGTGTACACACTTTTCTGAAAAACAATTTTTGTCTGACCAGGACAAATGCTGTGTATTTTTTGCTGTACCAGAATGGCTTTGCAGTTGTGCGTCCACCTGGTCACCATGCTGAGGAATCTACTGCCATGTAAATACATCCACAGCATTTGTGTTGAACAACTAGACAGTTCACGTCTTCCCATCTTGGTGGTCACTGACAGTTTATACTATTTTTTTGTATGTATGTATGTATGTATATATATATGTGTGTGTGTGTGTGTGTGTGTGTGTGTATCAACAGGGGATTTTGTTTCTTCAATTCAGTAGCTATCACTGCTAAGCTGCTGCAACAGAAACTGGGAGTGGGCAAGATCCTCATTGTAGATTGGGTGAGTAGTACTGACACACACATGATCTGTCACAATATAGGCCAGCTGTTCATATCATAATAGGCTAAAAGTATTAAAAACCCCATGAGCAGATATTTGACGGTAATGTAGTGAAAGTTTTACTTATGAATAACTGTACTGTATGCGTCAGTACAGTACTGACAATAAACTTAGAGAAACAGCATGTAGCCATCCAGACTGGTACATACAATAGCTAAACCAGCCATAAGCATAAACCCAGGTGTCAGACTTAGCTGTCCTACCTTAAACCAGGTAATTATTTTCAAACCTTTGTCTGCACAAGAACACTATTGAGTTCTTAGGTTGATTCATTGTCCATACAACAGAACCTATGGGTTCATTCTACATGCATCTCAACTTGGAAAACAAGTGCTTTCAGTGGCCTGTTAGTATTTTAAAACTCACTGGATTAGAAAAATGAGTTGGTGTGCTCTGCTAAGTGTAATTTTCTGGCCAGCTGATTCATTCCCTCCTCCACACTGTCTTTTAATACTGTTGCGAAAAAACACCCAAGGTCCATGGCTCAAGGTCCGTGGTCGAGTTCAATAGACACCTCATGTTAATTACTGATTATTCAGACCAGGCTTTTATGCAGGCATGCAGAACTAATGAAATGATGTCCAAGCTCAGAGTGTTCAGTGTGTCTGAATCATAATATCCCACTGACCTTCTGTCTGATGCCGCTGTGACCTGTCATTTCAGGACATTCACCATGGCAACGGCACCCAGCAAGCCTTCTACAGCGACCCCAATGTCCTCTATATCTCCCTTCATCGCTACGATGATGGAAACTTTTTTCCTGGCAGCGGAGCTCCTGAAGAGGTACAAGCACACATGCACGCATACACATACACACACAACAGAAATAGAGGATTCAATCATAGTTGAGCTTGCACATTCATACCAGTACCACATTCTGGAAATGACAACTCTAGTGGTTGCTCTCATCATTGTACACCCACTGAAGACAGAGAGTCTGTGACTGATCCACACACTCTCAGAAGCACTGTCTCTGACCGGTTTGAATGTTTGGGTGTCATGGAACATTAGGCTGAAATTCATTATTTGCAAAATCTTTAAGCTGTGGTGACAATATCGCCAGTGCGTTTAAAGGTACCCTGTGGGTGTGCCTACACTAATGATTACATGCACTAGAAGTTGTTTCCTTTTACCTGGTGGTGCACTGTTACTTTTCTATGGGGGTTGCTGCCACCAACTGTTGAGCAGTGGAATAGTGTGAAAATTTTGTAAAGTTTGCTTTGAGTATGTCTCTTTGTGTTTCTTCTTCTGTGTGCACATCCCTCTGCTTTTGTATGTGCATTCCGCCAGCAAGCACCAAACTTGGTTACTACTTAATCTATTTTCTTGGCTGCACTGACCATTTACAATACAAAGTAGGCTCATTTTTCATTTACTTTAAGATGATTCATTACTAATAATATTAAAATTTCCCACCACCTTGGAAACACAAATATATATACAGAGAGACAAGAATCACCAGTAAAGGTAATAATAATTATGTCTCTGTCTCTGCAGGTGGGCTCAGGTGCAGGTGTTGGTTTTAATGTGAACATAGCCTGGACTGGAGGAGTGGAGCCCCCTATGGGTGATGTAGAATACCTTACTGCGTTTAGGTAAACATAATTAGTATTATCATTATTGATTGCTTGTTTTTTGAGTATATTTTAAATTGTGACATTATTACCATGTCAAAACAAAGCCACAAATGGAATGGGGGTGGACATGGTGAAGACCAGGCTTGTATGCAGTATTTTCCCTTTAATCTTTAAAAATATGACTCTGCTTTATTAATGCAAAATAGGAAAAAACTAGAAAAGAAAGCAAAGAAGTTTTGAGATCAGTGGGAGTTTAAGCTGTCACTTTCCACACAACTAATGTCTGTGCATTATAACTACTGCTTATGAACAAGTTCTCACAGATAAAGTTAGGTAGGAAAAATGTTGCTTTATGTTCAGTATGAACACACCTTGAAGGAACAGTGCCATTCATCAAAATGTCCACTGTGTGTGTGTCTGTGTGTAGGAGTGTGGTGATGCCCATTGCCCAGCAGTTCAGTCCAGATGTGGTTCTGGTGTCTGCAGGCTTCGATGCAGTGGAGGGTCACCAGTCTCCTTTGGGAGGCTACAATGTCTCTGCCAAGTGTGAGTACCCCTTTGGTTACCATGATGACTTGATGTTGCAGTTTCTGATTGCCAAAAAGTTCGTATTGAGTGTTTAACTGTGACTGGCGTGTGTGTTTGCAGGCTTTGGTCAGCTAACGCAGTTGCTGATGGGTCTGGCGGGTGGGCGGGTTGTTATGGCGCTGGAGGGCGGTCATGACCTCACAGCCATCTGTGATGCATCAGAGGCCTGTGTCTCTGCACTTTTGGGAGACCCGGTGAGACAGAGAGGCAGACTGCCATCACGAATTATTCATGTTTTCATTTCAAAACAAGAACAATACTTTCAATCGTTTTCAATCTGGAGGTGTTGTGCACTGTCCCTATAAAGAGTATGGAAATATAACACTTACAGAAACACTAGTACTACAGTCTTTATTTATCGCTGTCATGGCCTGAGATGACTAATACACATGAACAGTTACTATAGTCTCCCAGTGCAACAATGTGGAACAATATGTTTGAATGTTATTATTCAACATTTTGAGAAATCTGCTTATTTGCTTTTTTTTGAGAGTTAGATGAGAAGGTTGATTCCACCCATCTGTTTTAGCACAGAGTTGAAGACTGGATGTGTTTAGCTTAGCTTAGCATAAAGATTGGAAACAGGGTGGACAGCTGGCCTGGTGCTGCTTAAAGTGTAAAACCCCTGTACACCTATCCAGACCTCTGAAGGTCACTAGTTGACATGTTGCATCTCATTTGTTTAAACTGTGCATACATTATTTCTACATACTATATATGCCCATATGAAACTACCCTTTAATTTCTGCATCTCTTCATTTGAATCTTCATGTATTGGCATGCAGTTTGAATGGCCACACTCAAGTTGTTGGTTTGCTCCTTGTGTGTGTGTGTGTGTGTGTGTGTGTGTGTGTGTGTTTTACTTCGGACAATACCAGGCTTGCCGTTTCCATCTGCTTTCAGTCTTTATGCTAAGCTAGGCAACATTCTGACTTCAGCCCCCTACTTAACACACAGACATTAGATCGCTTCCAAGAGCACAAATAAATGACTTTTCCTGGAAAATATATTTTAAACTATTATTTTATAAACAGCAGATCAGATCAAAACATGCAAAATTAATATTCTATCCATTCAGTGATATTCATTGTGTTTGCAGGATTTATTTAAAAAACACATTTTTCAAGTCTGACGTGCCCAAATGTACATGAGAATAGGTGGTGTTCGCTATAGCTATTCCTGCTCTCCACACCAGCCCTGAAGGTTTATATCAGAAATGCAACTGCACTGTAAGAAATGGAGGACAAAATGCATGCATAAATGCACTCCAGAGTTGTACTGATGCTCATCAGAAGTTTCAGATACTTTTTTAAGTTTTCCACTTTGTATTTGTAGTAGTTCCTTGCCAAGCTCTGGTGGAAGGATACCTCCAGAAAACATAGAAGCAAGTATGTGTGTTGAGGGTTTGCTAGTTAGAATATTTTTGTAGTTATGGTTTTGGGGCACAAAAATGTGTTAAAATCCACTTCAGTTGTGTGTTTGGATTATATTTGTGCATTAGTGCATCTTGAGGCCACTCCAGCTTTTTCTCCTGTTGTCCTTCAGACTCCCTCAATTGTTCTTGCCTCGTCTGCACTTTATAAGACGTAGAACATGGTTTGTCTCTGCATCTATCCGGGGTTTCCTGAAGGAGACAAACAATCTGCAAAAGCTTTGACAATAAATGTGAAACCCAGAGTAACAGATAATTATTTATCTGGCACAGTACCTGTATGATAAGGATTATGGTCAGATAATTCTTTTCTATAAACCGTGGCCTAAACAAAAACACAACAGCAGTCTGAATACAGTACTTCGGGCAGTCACTCTGGTTTGAGAACAAAGCGCCATTTAATGGTGACACCATGCAAAACAAGGAATAGCTCTTGAATGGGCGTTTACTGTGGAATGTAGACATGCCTTATCAGGCAACAGGAGAAGGTGAGCTCCTGGAAGGCTTACGGGAACTGCACGCCAGCTGAAAGTAATTCGGCTGGGAAGTGTAATTATGAGTAGCTGCATCTGTACAATGTGAATTCCCCCTCAAATTCAAAGTCAGACAAGACAATGTTTGTGTTTGTTTCTTACAGTGTAGCTGTGTTCTGGGTGAGTATCTTCAGGGCCAAAGAGAAGGGATAATTACAGTGATAATGAATGACCTATCCTCATATACATATGGGCACATCAATATTGTTTTAAGATTGACTACAAAAATCCTGAATCAATCCTTTGATTGTTGAACATAATGTACAGAAGTTTATTTAATACATTTCTGTTAACATGCGATTTCTGTTTCTTTCAGTGTGACTCCGTATTTCAGTGGCCTCAAGAAAAGCCATGTCCAAAAGCCTGCGCCTCACTGGAGAGAGTAATAGAGATCCAGAGTAAGAAACACACACACACACACACACACACACACAGTAAATACACTGAAAGAGGAGACGTTCTGACATGTCTTGATCTTCAATCCCTGTGTGTGGCTCTCTTGTTCCTCCAGGTAAACACTGGTCTCGTCTCCAGAGTTTGTCTCAGACAAGTGGCCACTCACTATTGGATGGCCCTCTTGGTGCTCAGGGCCAATCCGAGAAAGACGAAGCAGAGACAGTCAGTGCCATGGCTTCCCTGAGTGTTGATGTTGATCAGCCAGGCTCTGTTCCTGATAACACCGAAGCCAGCAGGTGTGCAGTGGATTGTGGTGACTGTCTGGTAGCATCGTCATGTCATTATGAAGCAGTACGACAGACTGAGCGCTAGCAGTACAGAGTATGGAAGTATGGTACAAATCCATACATGTGTCAGTCAACTCACACGCAGCGTCCATTGAGCTGACACAAGTAGTGCTTCTTTCACTCTCAGCAGCATGGTGTCTAACCTTAAGAACTGTTAGCTTGTTTGTACCATGGTGTCAATAATAGCATAAAGAAGCCAAATTTAAAGTAAAAAAACAATAAATTGAATCACAAGAAGGAAGGACATACTGTACATGTATAGTAACTAGCCCAGTTACATAATGAACATCCAGAAACTTTTGACTATTTAACTACCAAAGTATGTCTAATTGAGGGTTGTGTAATTGTTTCTTAAAATAGTATGATCTTGCAGGGTACTGTTGTGATAATGCTTTAGGACATGACGTTAGTAGAATGAAGAAGATTCCTGAGTGAGAAGCACATATTGTGTGCAAACAGGGTAACACAACAGCATCCAGCAGCCAGCGTTATGGCATGTTGTAAATCTCCTAATATTACTTTTTTAAGATTAAGAATTATACTGATATTATTGTAGTATTTGGTACAGGTTTCGTTGTGATCAGCCTACTTGCTTTCTTCATCATCTGAGTAATTATCAATTATATGTAGTTGACATGTATCATGATCATTTTTGTGGGCAGATTATTATGGCTAGAAAGACATAATATGGAAAGACAATTTATAAGCAGCTTTAGAGCTCGTAGCCCAGTTGTTTTTTCACGTGTGGCTACATGTAACAGTTACAATAATGCTAATGGGTAAATGACTGTATTTAGCTAAACTGGCATAAGGTTAAAAAAATTTTTCAACAGTATCACAAGGGGAGCCGAGTCACTAAAAGACTGGCAAACTGACTCAGTATTTTGTTATAAAACACCAAAAGTTAGTAACATTAGCCATCATAAGCTACAGGTTGTCTCAGACCAGTTAAAGCTGAACCAGACCGTTAAACCTGTGAACATATTTAACTGAGCAATGGTGAAGATTTGCTTCTTTCATTTGAACAATGTGTTTTTTCTTTCACAGGTTGCATAGTCTTACTTTAACACATTCTCCCGTTAGGTAAAGTTGAGGTCATCCATACTAGAGTGTGGATACCCAAACTGAGCCTGACGGGACCAGTCGCTGCCCGAGGGTTTGGGCTGGGTTCTGACAGAAGCTTTGAAATTATGTTTGGGCCCAGGTCTGGTTCTGACACATAGGTCAGACTTTAGCCTAGGCGGCTGGAGCACTTGCATGGCTGCTTCGTTTAATGGTAAAGGGAAAAACTCAAAGGCATTGAGCTCAGGTCAGGTTTGGTCGCCACACTCTCATGTACAGGTCAGGTTTGGACAAAAACATGCAGCCTGATCCATACTCTAATCCATAGTGCTTTGGAAGAAAATTCTGTTAGCAAAATTCTTTTTGGCACAGAATTGTCAGAAGCAGCAAATCTGAGGCTCATTTGTTATAACTAACTTTAATGTACATATTTTGACAAACAGGCTTAAATGATGTTTGATTTTGAATCGCTTGCAGGTCCACAGAGGAGCCAATGGAAGAAGAGCCTGTATTGTAGGTGGGACTTAAACAGACAGCACACAAAATCTCCATGCTCACCTCCTTCTAGCACCTCCTCTTCCTCTTCCTCCGCAGAGTTTGTGTAGGTACACACACACATACATACACACGAGGTGGAATTGTGCCACTGAGGACAACTCTGATTGAGTGAGGAGAACATTATGGAGAGAAGAGAAGGTGGGGCCTGTGAAAAACATGGACAGATCTCTTTGCTAGTGGTTCATCAGTCCAAGGGGAGCAAACGACTTGTTAGCATCTCCATGGAAACCAGAGGAGGGGAGCGTCAATGAGAAGACTTGTCTTGTAACCTGTATATTTTACCACCTGTACACAGCACCACTGAATTTTTCCCCTCTCCAATCAGTCCTCTATGTTTGTATTTCGTCCCCTTCTCTGTTTCCACAGATGGACAGTGACTGTGGAGAATGTGTTTCAATCCCAAGTGGACGACTTGTCTTCTTGTGAGTGTGTGGGTGCGTCAGATAGACAGGCCGAGCGAACATGGGGTTGGCTGGCAGGGGAGGATTAACCTATTTTTAAACGAGCAGAGGAGGAACTAGGTGCCTTTTTTGTCCACAGAAATTAAACCAACCAACCAATCAATCACTAACACTACCACCACCACCGCAGCACCTCAGCAAACTGACTAGCCAATCAGGACTGAAGAAACACACTGATGCGCGTGCATGCACACACACACACACACACACACACACACATTGCTGTTGTTTCAGTCAGTCAGTTCATTTTTGTGTCTGTTTTTTCATCTGGATGCCTTAATTTGTTCTTATCTCACTATTTAGCAACATTGAGAGAGACAAAGAGAAAAACGAGAGATGATATATATTCAGAAATGTATTAAAACTTCTAAGAATTGTATTTTCTTTTAGATCTGACAATATTCATGTCAGGTATTTCCAGCAGACTTAGATTTTTTTTTTTTTTAAATGAAGAAAGCCTTCTAAAGCCATCATTACACACTAGAAATCTCCAGTAAAAATCTCCATTGAATATTAATAATAATATCAGTAATAATATTCAATCAGACTTTTATGGAATCTGGTGAAAGTGTCTCAGGATCAACTCAGTATTCATTGTTTTTACATGTAATTATTCAAACTGCATGACTTCAGACCACTTCTCTATCAGTCCCGTCTCTCTCGTTCACTCATTCTGGAAGTCATGTGACCCCTTTTTCTCTAAAAGGGATTGTGGTACATTTTTGAAACACCAGTATGACTACCTTTTTTCTTGTTGTAATATTTTATTGTACTGTTACGTATTTGGTGTAAATATCGTCTCTTGTCGAGTTGCCCACAGTTAGGTCACAGCAGACTCAGTGTGGTCACTTTTCTATATCTGTACATACATACATGTATAAAACACTAAATACTTTGTCTTTTTGTATAAAAAAGCAAAAATAATATTCTACATCTATATATATATTCTACACACATGCGTGTGTGTATGTAAATAAGAACTGTTTTGTCCAGTCAGACTGGATTTATGAATATATTCTGTTTGTAGATTTGATGTTGTCAAAGTTTGGCTGTTCGATGGGAAGTAAACAGACAGTCTGATGTCATCAGACTGCCACCTGTTTGTTGGTTCATTTATTTTGGTTACAGATGTTGAGGACAGCTGGATATTGTTGTAAACTGTGGTTGTTGTTGTTGGAAGTAAACAGTGAGCTCCCGTTCTGCGGGCAGCGCTAGCCTCCACAGGCAAACTGTGCAAAAAGACACAATAAGTGGATAATAGGTTGGTCCAGTAATTATGTACTTTTGTAGTCCACCAGGGAGTTACAGTAGCTAGTCCCCTCGTGGTCTCTGATATTCATTAGCCTGAACTATCATACTGCATATCACAGATCTGAATTGCTCTCTCCAACTCCAACATTTAGTCAGAGAGTGCCACATAACATTTGTTTACAATGTGAACTCATGTGGTGGTCACCAAACTTCTAAGATGGGCAAACACCATGAGGCACTTGTAAGGTAACATATATATGATAATTTACCTTGACTAAGAAAGGTTTCCTCCATTAAACACAATACAACCATATAAAAAGGTGGCAAAGGATGTAGCACACAAGATGACGCCAGTGGCACCACAAAGGAATGGTACATTGGCTAGTGTTGATTCTCCTTAGATGATGATAGAGTCGTTAATTTAAAGCTGCAGTCATCAGTATTTTTTCAATAACAATATATCACATGACATTGTGAAAGGGGTTGCTCTTAGTGTGGAGACTAGAGAATTATCATCTGAATCTGCAGGTAGCTACTAGGTTTCACAGCTAAAGAGACACATATTTCCCTCAGCAATCAGTAGAGACAAAAACAGAGCTAAAAATGTCAGTAGCAATACTGGACTGTGTAATTGTTTTATGGAGTAGCCCTTACAAACCAGATTTGTTACACCAGTCAAAAGGATAAGTCAATAGGCTAAATATATACATTTTTTTACAAAGTACAGGTCTTTAATCAACCACTCACCTACTTTAAAGTGCAGCTCTGATGCGTTTTTCAGTATCACAACAAAGGGACATACCACATTAGGGGACTGCAGGTGCTGTGCTCACCATAAATACCTGTTGGATGCAAATATTCAGAACTGGACCACCCTGTTATCCACATCTACAGAAACAGAACCCAGAAACACTATTGAGTGATATCAGCACATGTGATGTCCATTTCCCAGAACCCTCTCAGTGTAGCAAGCCGACGCTGCTAACTCTGGGTGTATGTCCCAATCCCCTTAACTTGCGAGACAAAGTGAAACGTGAATGCAATTAAGGGGACTGAGATATACCCACGGTCTCATTTGTTCAAAGCAATACAACACTGACAGGACAGCAGTGACAGAAAAGAGAAAGAGACTACAACACCCAGCTTCAGCGTGGTCGCAGCAGACAGAATCACAGCTTACATTATTGATGGCGCTTCCTCTACCACCTGTGCTTGAGTGCTATTTGTGTGTATTATCTGTCAGGTGCAATAAATAGACAGTATTGATTGATCTGCAGATTGGTTGATTTATTGAGCTGTGTTTCCAGGTGGTTCACTGTAGTCTTCTTGTACTAATGTAAACACTAACACCATTTTGTCCATTAAACCTAGTCAGTAACAGCGGCGCCTTGCACAGGTGGATGAGTGGGTGGTGTCACTTGTTTGTTGTAATACTGCAGCCTTTTGCTGTATCAATGTCGTTCTGCGATTTCAGCACTTGCCTCGATGAATCCTACAGACACCGCTTGGTGTTGCAAACACAAGCGCAGGTTACGGACTGAGGCTTTAGGAGGCTGTTTCAGTGCAGCTGAGCAGAGTATCGCTCAGTCCTGGTTGGTTTGTACTGACACAAACTTTAGGTCGCAGGAGCTGCCATGACCGCTCTAGTCGTGATTCCTGC